CCTCTTTTATAATAGCATTTGTTCATTCTTGTCCTTCGACTTCTAATTCTTGACCATTTTATCAGCTACATAGCGTGCATAGAGTAATATATTGAAGCTCAGCTTCAGATCATAAAAATGATCGTGAAAACGATCAACGATGCTGAGACAGCGTCGGGGACAAAGGCTATTTATACCTTTTGGAACCAATTTCTAACTACCGCAGTTGATTAATGTCCAATAAAAATAAGAATATAAATTTGTGTTTCGGACTTAGATTTCGGTACCGCATTCGAAATGTGAGTTACTCTATCTCAGTACCGCAACAATCATATGATCAAATCGCCATTCACAATATCAAATACCCAATGACAACCCAAAACCGACTTTGACTGCTCTCTCTGAAAAACGATTAGTTATGTACCAAGCCGCTGTTCGAAAATACAAAAGGCTCTCAGTCAACTCAATCACAAAAACGAAAACAACCAGAAAAAGCCGACAATGTAACCCCTCCAGCTTATGATAAACCATCCAATAAACGAATGACAACACCTAGGAGGCAGCTACGATCAAAAAAATTACACAATTAGCATCCGATAAGTTAAACTTGCCTTCTTATGAAGAGTCATAATGTAAGCTTTTTTTTTAAAAAAAACTTGTAAGCGGGTTGCGGTTACGGGTCACATAAGCTTCGTTGGTAGTAATTTACTTTCTTGATTATAAACTCAAATTCTGACTTTCTATTTTCTTTTCTTCAGTAGTCTTTATTATTTTTACCGAGAGGCTGTTTTGAATTGTCGTACATTACGCTGTGACGCTTAGCATTTTTTAGCGTATGCGTTTTTAGCGAGATCTTTCTCTGACTGAGTCTTATTTTTATTTCCTTCGGTTAAATTGTTTTTAATGTTGAAAACACCGAGTTTTGTTTTAGTAATGCCCGCCGTTGGTTTCTCTTTTATAAACTTTATTTTTCTTTGTGACATTATTAGTCGTATTGTAGACGGTTTTTTTTAGCATCGATTATGATTATTAGTCTGTGGCCAAATTAGCCAAATGTTGTAAGCAGCAACAATGAACATATTGCTAATACGTTACGGAATTTATAGTAATCCCGCGTGTTTGGGATACTTGATTGAATTTGCGCGACGGATTGATATGAATGTCAGAAATAATAAAAGATGAAAATTTTCATCAACATTATTATTATCATTCGTAAGCAATAAATACTCTACCATATATAAGATAATCACTATTTATGCATCATGTTTACAATGGTTTTTCTCAATAGCATTATTTCAGATATCAATATTAATTCAATATAGGGGCAAAGCCCCCCATAAATTTATATCTAGTTTGTTATGAATATGCAAACGAAATACGTTGTTTCCAAAATTAATGTTACAAAGTAAAAATAAATCTGTCGTCAAACCCTACAGACATTTATGCCGTTCTGAATATCTTGACTTACACTTGACAATAACGCGTTAACAATCTGTAAGTAACTTAATGATTGGTTAACCGTAAACAAACTCATTACCAGTTTAGAAACTGAAGGTAATGTACTCACTAATTTTTATTTCAGTGTCTAACTCAACATACATGAAAGTATATCTTGCTTAATTGAAAAAAGAGTAAACTTTTGAATAAATCGAGAACTACGAGTTATTCCGAAAAAATTTGAGCCACAAATCATTAACAGTGAACGAATATAAACGAAAGCAATTGTTTATTCGTAATCGTCATTAAATCCAACCTGCTCCTTTACTATTCAAGCTAAGAGCGTATTAAAATATTTACTTTCCTTATCTAGACGCGGTAACAGCTGCATGTCGTTGATGATAGACGACCTTCCATGCACGGCGCCATCGTATACTGTCAATAAGCTTATAAATATATATTGCAAGTTCATATGAATCAGGACGCTTATCAGGATCAAAATCACAACACCACTCGGCAAGTTTCTTGTATTTCTTTGGTGCGGAATCAGGCATCGATGGTCGTAGCCCGCCCATGATATCGCGTATTAAATCGTTATCGAACTGTCTATCTCGAAAAGGTTGTTCACCGGTAGCAATCATATACATAATTACGCCAAAAGAATACACATCTGATTGCTGAGTGAATTTGCGAGTATGAAAGACTTCCGGTGCAATAAAGGGAGAAACGTTTCGAATGTTTGACTTTTGTTGATGTAAATTCGTTGATCGTGAGTGACCCAAATCACATATCATTGGTCTTATCGCACGCGTATCGTCATGCATCCATATGTTTCCGCCATTTAGATTACAATGTACTAATCCCACTTCATGAATAGTTCTCAGATGCCATGCAATATCCCACAAACACTCTAATTTATTCTTCCATGTCAATCTGTTAATATTTTGATCCAAATAAGACAAGAGACTACCATGGTTAGCATATTGCATAACAACCATGTGTTCTTTTGTTTCTGGATCTTGTGTGACTCCATGGATTTGAAAGAATGAACGATCATCATAATTTGCGCACTTGGCATGATTTCTGAGCTATCAATTAAAATAATTATAGCATCAAATTAATTGTCACTGTAATTGATACTGCCCAATTGCTATTGTTGCTTACCTCGGAAATAAATAATTCCGGCGTTCCATCAAAACTCTTAAATCGTTTGAGTACAACAGTTTCTTGATACTTATATCTGGCAGTATAAACTGTTCTATAACTACCAGATCCAATCTCTTTGAGATTGTAAAAGTCGTTATACTGCATATACGATAAGATGTAGTAACCAGAATAGTAATTTATAATCTTGTCCAATATCAGACGTATTTCATGGTAAAACACTAAATAATATTCCCGGGTAGACGGCTCCTGAGTAATTCCAATTATCCAAATGTTCTCTGGGGTTAACATCTGTGGAAATTTCTTGGTTACCTGTTTCAATAAACAAATACAATAATCGTTACAACATAACTACACCAATACACACTTATCGATTGTGAAACAATTTACCTGATGAAAATCAAATGATTGATTGTTTTGTTTGTCAGTTATCTTTTTGAGCGTTATGCGAGTCAATTCATTCGTTGTCGGTTCTAACCAGTCCGCTATATGTGTGCAACTGTAGCGTAACGATGTCATCTCTTGTACGTTGGTCAATAGAGAGTATTCGATCCATTGTATATACGCATCAAACACATTCTCTATATTCCTCCACGATTCCATAATAAATGAATCCAATGACTTGTTGCCCGTAGTCCAATTAAGAGGTCGTGATGCTTTACAGCAATAACAGAATGCATTTATCTCAGGTATTAATTGACTCGTACATGCCAGACATAATCCATTCTCTCCTTTTATCAGACAATACATTTGTTTATCTTCATCATATGTAAATCCAATGGTAACCCAAATATCTGTGTTAAGAATATCTGGATGTTTATCGCATAACTAATGATACCATAATAAGAAGTCAATAATTATTTAAACTATTCAATAAACATGACGCATAAGAATAGTTTACCTCGGCATAATATAAATCGTGTGTCTCATCTGTTATCTCAAATGGAATCAATTTAACAAGTGAATAAGATAAAGGTAGACCATTCAAGTATCCATATGTCACACAATCGTCTGGAATCCATTCCAAATAGGCGTCATTTGGTGAGTTTGTTTGTAGTTGAGATTTCTTAATAAAGTCATCGAGTTGGTGATTGTTGCTAGTCCACCCATCGGATAATTGTTTATAACCACAAATGCACCACACGGGACTACATCGGAGTATTCCACATGTGGAGCAGAAGCCATATCGAGAATAATAATGGTAAAAGCGTTTACCAGCAACCATGTAATAGTTATCGTCATTAGACTTGGTGACTCCAAAAATGAGTTGGTTGCGATAATTAAGCCATTTGGAATATCGTTTAAAGTTATTGTCATTGTCATCGTACTTGCGCGTTGGTAGTGAGTATATTCTAGCAAACTCACTCACGAATGTTGGTGTGCATTCTTCGCTACTTCCAAGTAATACCAGCGTTATCGTCTCATCATATTTGCGTTTGCGAATAGCGCAGTAAACGTTGCCAATTTGAGTAGGGTTTACGTTGGTGATTTCCTTGAAGGGAATCCATTCAAGTTTTAAGAAAGCATTTCCACCTTCCAAGGAGGATTGAACCAGGTTATTAATTGCTTTAGCAGTTCTTGATGCGAACCACATGGTTTGAATAAGTTGCAAGTACCTCACGGAGTGTTCTAATTCTCAATGTTTATTGTGTTACATCACACAGATTATTAGTACAGTCACACCATTTTACTTGCGTAACCCTATTACTATATTAATCTGCACAAAAGGAACCCTGGTCCCTTAGTATTATTGGCTAGTTACGTCAACAGCATCTCATCTTCAACATAATCTTAAAATAAAATTCTATCAGACTCGAAATTTGTAAATCATGACAATAGACTTGTATGTTGCAGATTATATACCTATTGCGTAAACATTTTTCTCTTTGACGCCTAACTGCCTTTGTCTTTTAAATAGGCTAAAATTTTGGCTACTCATATCCCGATTCAAGTGACCGTCATTTCGCTATAGATCGATCGCTCATAGTACTGATCGATGATCTCTATCGTTTTTCGACAATCTCAACAAATATATAGTACATTACACTGCGTTTGTATATCATGCAAATAATATATACAACCGATAACCAAAATGAGATATCAGTATCGTGGGAGCTCATATGAAATCCACACGAGGTTCTGTTCTGCCGACCATTTGCTGGTCACAACCAAGCTATAGTATGCGTCAGTACAGATCGTTTATGGGTTTCCCACATGATTGTAAACCACTGACATGCTTAAAATAGGAATATTATCATATCTTTTGAACAGATATAAATTATTTAGCAGTAGATAGGGCCGTTTCACTCCTCGCTTTGTTATCAAAAGTTATATTTTTTATAATGGAAAAATCATTTTTTTCTTTCGCCATATTACTTTTGATCAAAATTTTGAATTGGACGTCTAGTCCTTCGAGTACCATGCCAACAGCAGAAATGGTGTCACAAAGACCACTAGATATATCGACAATTCAAAATATGGAAAATGATGTCAAATGGATAACTCATACTAATTGCGCAATACACGGACCTAGCTGCGGCGGTGGTTTTTCCAGAACCGTTGAATCAAGCGTTTATGTTATTGACATAAAAAACGTCAATAGTTTCAGTGAACACTTTTTCGATCGATTTGACGGGCGTGCTAAAAGAGATCTTAAATCAGCTTTCAAGGGCTTGTTTGTTAGCAAAAGTTCTACCTGGAAACAGCAGTATATAGACATTAAGTTTGGTGAAAGTAACGTTAACCAACCTATTACTGGAGGGTATTATTTTATGTGGGTTAGCGATGAAAACGGCGGAACGCGTACAGTTATAATAGCAATAGCTCAAATTACTAAGTCACCTGCTGCTAATCATTATTTTTTAAAAGAGTATTACGCAGGAAATGACTATCGCCTTGAAAATGCATTAATTATACGGATATGAAAAACAATGGTCTCATAAGCGGCCACTAGTTTTATTCTTATCTTGCTTTCCCTCTTTTTCTCAATGTATTATATAAAAACAACGTTTATATTGGTGGTACTTGCAAGGGTCAAGTCTGACTGGAAAGTTTCTTATAGTGTGGTGTTTGCGTCGACTAAATTCATAGACTAAAATTTTTACATTCAAACGCTATGCTAAATCTATCCATATCTAATAAAATTAAAAACAATTTACACGGTATTTAACCAATTATTTAACAAAAAATCCATATTAATATAAAAGATGTTTTTGTCAACATATTACGGTACACACCACTATTACAGACCATGAAATTTGGCAATTGGTTCTAGCATTAATTTTGTATTAACTACTTAATTATGACTGGCCCGCCTCCGAAAACACATGGAGGATATGGAACTCTGTAAACTTGCTGCAAACAGTTTTGTTGGTCGTTAAACACATTAGAAGAATCTGAAAAGGGGAGGGTATATTAACATTTACAAGATTTGTTTTTGAATTACATACTCGTACAACAAATTATCTGATAACTTTTTTGTATATATAGTATATAGAAATTAGCTGAGGCTCTTACCAAGGCCTTTTCAATAATTCTGCTTGCCGGTGCTTAAGGGGATAGAACAAAATATTCTAACACCATTACAGCAATGAAGGTCGAGATAGATACATACAAATTCTTTTTAAACAAACAACGAGTACTATTGGAGCTCATTAAACGTAGCTACTTTCATTGAATTTAATCATCGCTTCTACCACGATAGTAGCATTTACTCTTAGCGTATCCTGGTAACATTTTTGCAAGTAGTAACATGGCTAATGTAATGACAGTGACTATGCCTAGAGAGATTTGTGATTATGGACTGTGAATATCTTAAACTTGGGCTAAAAGAGTTGTGTGAATGGTGTCCATTCCAAATATTTAGACATGTTTTTATCATTACCCTCCTTAATTCTACTTACCAAATTCCATTGGACAAACATCATAAGAAATAATTATGAACATGCTATACGTTTAGTCGGAAAATTTCATCCATACCATACGCTCTGATCAGATAAGCATTGATCATGTTACACAAGTACATGGACATCGTTCAAATACCGATGACGCTTAGTAATAAGTCTTCTTTGAAACTACGTAAGAAAATGAATAGCTTTATTGACTTATCCTCGAATCTTACATCTGATTACGAGAAACTGTATGAAAGTGGCAGATATGCAGATATTTTAATCCATGTCGGAAAAGAGCCAAATAACAAAATTTTTCTCGCTCATACGGTGGTATTATGTACAAGAAGCAAATCCATCGAAAATAGCTTGACCGAGAATAAAGAGACATCCGATGCGATTCAGAAAGCTGTCATATCCTTTGAAGATGTGTCTCCTGACGTTTTCGAAATACTTCTCAGGTAAATTTTATAAATGTCAGCATACCGGTGTCAAATGCTGGTAATACTCATCGCATTCTTAACGATTCATCGTAGATATATTTACGCTGGACGAATACCCTGCGATTTATGCAAGAACGTAGGTTGGCTTGATCTTTTGGATGGAGCTAGCAAGTTTGAACTAGTTGATCTTCTCGCTGCAATTGAAACGTATTTGCTTGATCAAGAAAATGAATGGATTCAACAGAACGTTCTCACAATTCATAAGTATGCTGCGTCTAAAGTCTCTTTGAACAAACTCCTAGCCTACTGTAATCGAATCATGGTTTCCCACCCGGAAATTATCTTCAAATCAAATGATCTTGCAACTTTACCAAAGGAAACTTTGATGACTCTTCTCAAGAGCGATGAGTTGGACATGAATGAAGATGATATTTTGATATCAGTCATACAGTGGGCTATTAAACAAGTGCCCGAACTAGAACTTGAAAATGATCCAGATTGTTGGTCATTTAATGACAATAATGTAATCAAAGATATTGTAGCAGATTTCATGCCTTATTTAAGATTTGTCAGCATCTCCCTTAAAAAGATTATTTTGTATGATGATTTATTACCAAAGAAGCTACGTCATGATATATTGAATTATCATACTGACAAAGATTATAAACCAAAGACTCCATTACTACCACCAAGAGCAGGGCAATCACACATATTGCCACTGAAAACAGGACAAGAATATGATATTGATTCAGTTCTCATTAACAACAAGCAAGCAGCATGGATCTCATCAAAAATTGTAGAATCAGCAAAGCAGCTTCACGAGAATCAAGAAACATCTATAAATAAAGATGATGTTTACAAACTTACACTACTTTACAGTTGCAGTAGAGATGCAACAAAATTTAGAGAATTGTGTGATGACAAAGGGCCCACAGTTGCAGTTGGGAAAGTGTTGAATACTGAAGAAATACTCGGTGGATATAACCCACTATCATGGAGGAGTTCCCGAAATGCTTATGCTGAAACTAAAGAGAGTTTTATATTTGCATTAGATAGAAACATAGAGAATAGTATAGTAAGCTTTGTTGGTAACAATGGTTTCCATGCTATTTATGATCATTCTACATTTTTTCCTACATTTGGGAGTGGCCATGATTTACATTTTGGTACTGAGAGTGGAGGACAACCTTATACATATTATAATGCAAATACATACCAAGTTCCAATAAGATCTTTTACTTTATCAGGTAGTAGTTTTAGATGGGCTGATTGGGAGGTGTTTTTGGTATCAAAAGTTTGATTTAAATTAGTCAGTTGGGAACTGTTATTATATCCATTTAAACTAAAGAATGGTTCAATAAAATTTCGTAATTGTGTAATGGAATATTGTAATACAGCGCCATTACTCATGGTATTAGTATGTGCCGCAATTAACTGTCGATAATAATGATTTTATGATGACATTACTAATACTAATTGACATCAAGCTTGTTTGTATTACCAAAAACCATCTCTTCTTGAATAGTCATTATAAGATCTCTGCTAAAAGGATTATCCATTGTGAGAACTATGCAGTTACTGTACTTTAATTTTTGGTGGTGTTACTATACTTAATTATAGTCCAACATATAAAAGTTGTGCTTGGTAACTGAGAGTAACTCGCTGTAACTTTGAAACAGTTGTAGGTCTTATTGTCGTGAAAAGCGATTGCTGGAGTGGTTTGTTTTGGCAATCACGGAATTACAGTTAGTGCTGACCTTCTTCGTGAGCATAAGGGCTGGCATAATCTGAAGTTCGAATTTAATTCAAAGATTTCCAAATGTCAATAATATAACTATTGGAGCATAATGCACAGCAAGTTCACTTTGACGAAGGTTTGTTTAACAAAGATAAGCCTCATAACAAAATTTAATGAAAACGATTCATTCACAGCGAAAATTTGTAATTAAAACCGAGTTACGATGACATATTTCTCCGTGATTTTCGCTGGTAGTACGAAATTTGCGACGTATTGCACTGGAAATACATCAATCAAATATTCCCTCTATCGAATAAAAAAGTACCTATTCGTGTGATGGACAAAAATATAGTAAGCATTAACTAGCACTGCACTAAACTAAGTTATCAATTGGAGAAAAGTAACCGCATATAATTGAGGTTTTTGACACTGTTTTGTAATGGTAAGTTAAGAAAAGCATTACGATAGTAAACAACAAACAAACATTACGAATAGAAGCGCTCTACATACTATTGCAAGAAAAGTAACTTGTTTACATGTATAAGGGTGAATATAGTGCAAAATATTTAAAATGTGCGAACACACAATAATCAAAGACAACTAAGCGTGCGAGTGAAAATTGCTAAAGTGTGTCTAAGAGGGAAAAAGACGAAAGACAATGCAATAAAAGCTAAACGACTCTAAATGAGGTAGCATGCAACATAAGTTGAATTAAACGAATAATGAGTATAGTCGTTCAATGTATTAACGTTAATGCTATTTTTGGTGAGTAATAAGACATGAGCACATGTACAGTATGTAGGACATATTTGATTCGCACAAAATTGTATAAAGAGGATCTACAGTATACAAAATTACAATACATTCAAGCGTCACATACATATAATAATATACTGCAATTAGCCAACATAACACGCACAACCATAAACAGAAGGCCAACATGTTAAATAAGGAGTGATCAAAAGTTTGCAGAAAGTTGATAGGAACAAACAAACATGTTTGAAAAAAATTACCGTAAGTCTAGTATTAGTAACAAAATTTAAATTGTGTATTAAAAGTAAATAGTACTCAACATTGAATTATACCACTACAATGCTGCAACAATACATCGACAACAATGGCAATTACAATAACCTTTAACGATAAAATTCCTATCTTTTATGTAACAAAATTTAATACAGCATCTCAACTCAATCATTAATAAATCAGTGCTATGTTTCGAAAGAAACTGCTTCAATAAATTATTAACTAGTATACAATTGTCATTTAGCAAACTAATGTCGTCTTTTGGCTTTTTAGAGAGGTGGACAAGGATAACTCTAGTAACAACAAGTGGAATGCCATATATCACGGTAATGTAAAGCCCTTATAACTTATAACTCTCAAAGGAAGGTAAGTACTCTAGCAAGCTTGGAGATTTTGCCCAAACTTGGAAACTGCAGGTGTGATAATAGCAATTAGAATTAGTTTCATATTTGTGTTAAGTAAAGTCGATTTATATTATCTATTGTATTGTTACGATTTAGTGACTCAATAAACTTGTAATCTGATATTTAGTCAATAACATTTAAATACTGCGTCTGCCGCTTCGAGAATGATGCTATATAGAGTATATACAATTACCAAAAATCTAAATCCAAATTCATTCATTCGATTGGTCTATTGTTGTTTCGTTTTCAAAAATTTTTATTTGTTGAAAATTTTGGTTTAATGTGTCCATTATTAAACACAGCTAAGGTATGAGACTTCTTGTATCTTATTCGACACAAGTTTTAAAAATCTGTATGTTCTAATCAATTTACTTGTTTGATTTGTCAAATTTATCTTTACGTACCCTTTTTTTAAAAAAAAATTTAATCTGTTTACGTCCTGAAAGAAAATTGTCATTATACTTGGCAATAATAAATGATGGTCGTATCATACCTACGATTGTGATAACAATCACACAGAAATTTGTTTCAGGCGTGTATCACACGCGTTGTTGGAAAAATTTAATTCGTTTATTTGTCTTGAAACGTGCGTTATACTGTATGTTTGTAAGGTAATAACTCGGTTTCTTGATTATTGCTAGAGACATGATACATCAAACATTTACTGATAGCAAACTTGTTATATGTGTGCTTAACTTGGCGTTATGCTACTTTGTTGCGCTTTATTATAATAACGTTGTTTTCCTTTGGCACGTGAAAAAAAATTTTGATAGATTTGACATCGACAACGCTTTGTTGATGTCGCAAAAAAAAAACCAAAGTTTGAGAGAAAAGACACGAGGAGACGCGAGGCAAGCTTTATTCGAAAATTATTTCCGTTTGCTGACATGACTGCTTGATGCCATATTGATTTTAATTTAATAATATGGTTGGTTTTCAGTAATCAGTCGTCACGGAAAAGTTTGTACTTGAGAAAAATGATACGAAAGCTCACTGAAATTGTCAGTATTTATATACTTACGCCAATGTTATTTTAACATATAGTAATTAATTAGTATATAAAGCGTCCCATAGATTGAATCGTAATACACATTTTCTTTATTAAGCTATTTTCCGATTCAACACACAGTCAGTTTTACGGGTGATGGATTCGGGACGACTCCTGAGATCGGCAATCCAATGATTAAGAGAAATAATTTTTGGTTGCGTGACAAAGCGTTTCTTCACTGGACTGCCGCCCCCCCCCCCCCCGCTTTCGAATTTCTTTTCCATTTTTTGACAAAGATAAGCACGAAGAGATCGGGACTTTGCAATTTTCTTCGTTTCTAACAAGACGCATCTAAAAATAGGATTGGGTTAATAAATTCCGAAATATCATCATTTTTTTGTGGTACCACATCAGAAAGAGCCGGCGTTATTGCCTTAACATCATTATAAGAGAGATTCTTGCTGACAATATGTCGCACCCTTTGATTTGTATTATTCAAGATTAAATTACCTGACTAATACTGGTTATAATATTGGCGTAACTTCTGTAGCCGTCTTTTTAGCCATAAATTAATCGTGCCAGCTGTTAGAAGACTCGTTCGTAAGTTGTAGCGAGCTGTCGTTATGTTCGTAGCATGGAGTGGCGCACAGCGCACATATATTGGAGTTTGCATTTGGTCGATAATCGTACGTTAGATGAGAGCGACTGTTCGTATTTTCGCTTTGGAAGAGAAGCTAGTAGCCGGTGGTCGGTAAATTATTTGTTCGTTGTCGAGTGTCAAGAGTTCGTTGGGGGTTGGTTTCTGGCTGTATTGTTAATATTAGACTTTGGTAGCGCTTTTCAAGAAGAGGGGTGAGTGGGTAACATTTCGAACAACCGATTATAATTAGGGGTGCATGATTACAAGAACCAGTCACATGATGTGAGTAATAGTCTGGTAAAATAATAACCCTTACAGGTACTTACAATCAAACGTTTACGCAACTTAATTTTTGGGCTTCTACTTCTGATGTCAAAATAGTGTTTAATCTGGCAATGTCGGCCAAACCTTAAAAACTTTTCCTTCATTGAAAATGTTTGTTGTTAATTTGTATTGAACGTTTTCATAAAGTTACCAGAATTGGTACATAACGTTTAATGTGTTATTGATTTTCTAACTTTGAAAGTCTGGCTTTGATTGAATAAGCTATTGAAAGTCTCCGAAGTAACAAAAAACGCGCAAAAATACGAATACTATTCTGCAAAAGATTATTAATAATAAAACACACGCGGTTGGAATGACAGCAGCGCACAGCCAAGTTATTAAAAAAGTTAAATGACGGTCGTCTTAAAGCTAAGAGATCGATCGACATTAATGAAATTGTAAAGTCGACAATAGATTGACGGTCAGCCTGGTAAGCTGGAGGGAGATCATGGATATAGAGAAACTGATCCATACTGTCATTGTGAATATAGAATTAATAAAGTTATCATCGGCTAATGCAACCAATACATATTATTTTAAGAACGAATCAATCGAACAGCGGATGAAAAGATTGCGGAGAGAATTCACACAAAAAGGACTATGATAAGAAAACAAAACCCTGTACAAATACTTAAAATATTATTTCCTATTCTTGTTTGCTATTATAATTAGCCAACATTGTTTGCCGTGTATAACCGAGTGGGCTATCAAATTTAAAATTCTAACAAAAACACAAACGAAATTATTATGTCTGTTTAGTTTGGGAGATTACGATGTGAAAAGTTACTACATTATTTGTATTGACAAAATTCGGTAACTACTCGTTTTGATAAATAGAGTTTTAGAGCATGACAATAAAACAAAAAGTGGGGTTTACAACTACTTGATTTCAACGAGTTGAATTGTTTAATAAAAGTAGCGTTTAAATATTCCAGATTAAAGTGACTTGGACTAAATGAATTCTACTAACAAATAAAAAATTATGCATTGATTTTTCCAGAGCTTAAAAGATTAATTGTATTAAAGTTTTTATTTGGACAACCCACTATATATCAACATAGTACATCGGTAATTTGTCGAACAAAGTTTTGTTACTGTAATTAAAGCTGACCTGAACTTTAACAAAACAATGGTTAATATTAAGCATACAGTTTTGCTAATTACTTGAAATGTGTGCAACGAATAAACGAGCTTGTTTAGCAATACAGACAATGATGTCTTAATCGTCCAGTGTATCCCACACATTATTATTCTGATCTTGAGCATTTCATCAACTTTTTCTCTCATGCTCAACGCACACATGTCATTTGGTTCAATCTCCAATGACTTGTTGAAATCGGTCAACGCTCTATCATATTCTTTGAGATCAAAATAAACATTACCCCGTAATCTTAATGCATGTGCATTGCTTGGCGCAATCGCTAACGACCTATTGAGATCGCCTAATGAATTGTCATATTGTTTCAAATCGAGATAGACGTTTCCCCTCACGGTCAATGCATCGACATAATCAGGATCAATCTCTAATGATTTATTTAAAACGATTAATGCATCATCATATCGTTTGAGCATGCGATACGTTTCACCTTTATTCTTTAATGTAGATTCATTACCCGGATCAATCCGCAATGATTTGTTGAGATCACTCAATGATTCGTCGTACCGCGCAAGATTACAATAAATGTGTCCTCGTACATTCAATGCATATGAATCATACGGCGCACTTTCCAATGCTTTGTTGACATCGCATAACGCGCGATCATACTGTTTGAGATCATTATAAATATCTCCTCTTATAGACAGCGCAGGCGCGTAATTTTGTTCGATTTCCAATGCTCTGTTAACATCTTTCAAAGCATCGTCATACTGTTCGAGGAAAGCACGAGAGTTAGCACTCATACACAATGTCCATGCATTATTTGGTTCAATTTGCAATGATTTACTAAAATCATTCAGCGAAATGTCGTAATGTCTCGTACTTTTATAAATACTTCCCCGTACTCTCAACGCCCATGCATCATTTGGCTCAATGTCCAATGACTTGGTGAGATCGCCAAGTGAATTGCCGTATAGTCCTAGATCATGATAGACAAATCCTCGTTCTCTCAACGTCCGTGCATTGTTTTGCTCAATCTCCAACGATTTGTTAAGATCGTTCAATGCATTACTGTATTCTCCTAGACATCGATAAGCAGCTCCCCTTCGACTCAGCACCCACGCATCATTTGGCTCGGTGTTCAACGACTCGTTAAGATCAATCAGTGAACCGCTGTATTCTCCTAGCTCGAGATAAATGGCTCCGCATCTGCCCAACGCCCACGCATTGTCCGGCTCGATATCCAACGAGTCGCAAAGATCGTTCAGTGAATTGTCGTATTGTCCTAACTCAAGATAGACAGCTCCCCGTTCTCTCAATGTCCATGCATCAGTTGGTTCGATATCCAACGATTCGTCAAGATCGTCCAGTGAATTGTCGTATTGTCCTAGATCAAGATAGACAGCTCCCCGTTCTCTCAACGCCCATGCATCGTTTGGCTCGATGTCCAACGATTTGTTAAGATCATTTAGTGAATCGTCGTATTGTCCTAGACATCGATGGACGGCTCCCCTTCTACTCAGCACCCATGGATCATTTGGTTCGATGTCCAATGATTTGTCAAGGTCATTCAGTGAATTGTCAGATTGTCCTAGATTAAGATAGACCGCACCCCTTCTACTCAAAACCCACGAATCATCTGGCTTAATCTCCAACGATTTGTCAAGATCTTTCAGTGCATTATTGTATTGTTTCAGATCGAGATAAACGTTCCCTCTTCTACTCAACGCCCATGCATTATCCGGTTCAATTTCCAACGATTTGTTAAAATTATCTAGCGCGTTGTCGTATAGTTTTAGACATCGACAAACTTCTCCCCGATATCGCAACGCCCATGCATCACTTGGTCTAATTTGCAACGATTGATTAAAATCAATCAGTGACGTGACATAGTGCTTTAGATTTAAATAGACTGATCCCCTTCTGCTCAATAACTGTGCATTATTCGGTTCGGTCTCCAATGACCTGTTAATATTGTTTATTTCGTCGCAATACTCCAATTTTTTGTAAACCTTTTCACAATCTGGCCGCTTACTGCGGTCACCAGTCCAACATTCTGAGTATAGCTTGAAATATTCTTCGGGTGTTCCAGGGAAGGTAAGATCACGAAAACCATTGCGTCTATATGTAACAATATAGTTCATTTCAGTATGTCCTGAACATGGAACTTCTCCAGACGATATTTCCCAAAATATTACGCCAAGACTAAATATGTCGGATTTCTTGTCAAGTTGATATGACGTGTTCACTAGAAATAACGGATCCTTGTATGCAAGCGCGCCTTTGTCAGACGATTTCGATATCGCTTGTTTCAACACGTTTGATAAGCCAAAGTCAGTTATCTTGGCAACACCTGATTTGATAAGAATATTACTGGAAGACTAGATTAAACAGACAGATAACGTTAGCTTAAATATACTGTGAGTTGGACGATACAAACTAAAATTTGCGATAAATACCAAATTCTTGTGAACTATATCGAGTTTATGTAAATGTCTTAGCCCATTGGCAATTTCCAAGCTCAGCTTGTATTTGTCTTTCCAAGACAAATCGTTGAAGTGTTTGTTCAGGTGTTCACGCAAACTTCCATCGTCAGCCAGTTCGAAAATCATATGATAATCATCATATTTGTCTGCATGCGTTAATATAGAATTGTTACTTGTAATTCAGTCAAGCAAGTCATTACCATTAACTGAACCTACCTTTGTATACACCCAAAAAACGAATAATGTTTGGATGATCATTCGCTTCTTTATGGTTCTTCAGCTAATGTAGAATTCATTTCGAAAGTTAGTATACACGAGGTATAAATGTGCACAAAGCATAACGGAAAGTATATAATAACCTCTTTGACCAACTGCTGGTGCAAATCTTCTTCGTTATCTTCATGTTTATTCGTAGATAGCATCTTCACCGCAACGGTCATTCCAGAGTAAATGTTCTCTGCCATAGTTGTGGCAATACTGTCAGCATGCTCTATCGTTGCCTGATACACTGTTGCAAATTCTCCAAGACCAACATGTAGAGAGTCTAATTTAATGTCATCTTCCAGACAGCAATATATTGATCCTTCTTGAATGCTTGCGTTTAGCCATTCTTTGTACGAATCGTTAGATGTTCGAGACATTATTAACATTGGAGTGAATGCGGTGGCTGTTCTGACTAATGTAGTACATAGTACAGTACGCAAATTTTGTACAACCAGACCGTCCACATTTAGCAATCATCACGTTTCACTTATTCACAATATTAAAGTAAATAGTAATCTTTATTTGTAACACCTATTGCACACCATCCGCTTTTTAAATATACGATTCACGGCTTTTTACTCTTCAGATTTTACAATTTCAACCAAATGGCATCTTCCTACAAAAACACCGACAAAGCTGGTCAGCAGCACAGGAAGATCTCATGTCTAATATTTATACAAACGGTTAAAAAATAGTAACTAAAATTATACAAAATTGCAAAGCAGATATATTCATTCATTAATGCCAGTAATGATGTCCACAGATGTCAGACTATATGCTACGCTACGTAAACTTTCTCTGCGTAATTAGAACCACAGTAAATTAAGAACTGGCGAAAGTCTTTTTTTTTTTTGAATAAAAAATTTTTAATTTTTTTTTTTTTCGAGTAAGCCCGTCGTAGCGACAGGCCCTCTTACGACAAACCTGCCAGCCATCACCGTTCTTCGATTCCAGCTGACTCGTCACCAGCATAATAAAAATAAATTCTTTTTGGAAAATTCTGTTTCCTTACGGTTACTGTTAGTGAATGGCCGCCCGTTCTGTAAAATATTGAGAAATTGCTAAATTAATAATCAATTTCCTCTTCTTTGTATAATTATTTATAATTTTAAAACTGAGATAACCCCGACTTTATTTAACGAACAAATTTTATTATACTGGCAAAAGCTAAACTTCAACGTTATTACAGACCATTGTTCCCTAGGCAATCGAAGTTAATTTGTAACATTTTTTCTTCAAAAGTAGCTATTAAAATTAATTTTGTGAATACAATGTTATTAGATGTTCAACTTTATCGCAAAAAAAAGTGATGTCAAGATTATGTTTATTACATCTAGCGATAGATTTCGAGAAGCAACTTAAAAAATAACGAGTTGTGGTCCAGTTTTTTAGTAAAATGTATTTTGCCCAATCGTCTTGAATATACTTTTTTGTCATCAAATAAACACGTAACAGTAATTACTGGCATAGATAATTTACAACTCGTCTATGAGCTTCAAGCAATTAACATCTGATCAGATGTCGCTGATCCATAACACTTGTAAAGTTGGTCTTCGTAAGGAAAATCACTATATTTAAAATACATAGGACGAAACTCGTATTAACATAGACACGGGTACAGTGACTTTTTATAGTAGCAAAATTCGTAATTTGGATAATGCATGTTCGGATGTTGCTAATAATAATACGGAAATATAAGTTAATAGCTATTTGCTGAAGTTGGTACTAAGCCAGCATAAGCTAGATGAGAAGTGCATATAAACAATAAGCAAAAACTTCAAAGACGTTTTTTATTGTAGCAATTAATTCTAATTGGGTTAGTGTTCTATGCCAGTAATTATTATGAGTGGTAAAAATAGTGAGATAATTGCATCCAATTCAAATAAATTTTGTAATGAGAAAATATTGTAAGACATAATGACAAAAGTCTGTATACGTTGATGTAAGTTGCACTTATAATACTTTTGTTATATCGTCAAAAAAATGCATGAGTGACTAAAAATGTTAATGATATTTAAGTCGATTGTTTTGAGTCAAGAATGATATAATTTGATGTTGATAAAAATTGGTTAAAGAATTTTTTTCGAACAATTAATGACTGGTAAGCTTACCATGAGCGCGCAAGAAATTCGTTAGACATTCTAGGCAAATGCATTTGATGAATCGACATTGTGAAACCCTTCCAGAGACCATTTTGCAAAATTGATATTGTAATGATTGGTAGGCTTACCATGAACGCCACAATTTGTCAAGCATTCTGGAATTATGAATAAGTGAACAGTTGTAGCGTATATGATGCAAGGCGAGTTGTATGCGCTAAGACATTTAAATTTATGAATGGATGACGTATAATCTTTGATTACTCGTTTATTGAAAGGCTAAGTTGACATCATACCACACATAAACGTTTTAGTTACTAATATTATCGCTAAAATTGTTCGCAAATTTATTAAAGTTGTTAACAGTAAAAATTTACCGCGTGTCAATATTACGTACGTGTGATACTAGCAATAACAGGTTTTAATACTCAAGAGGAGGCTTTATTTAATAAAAAATTACAATTGTCGATGGCTGGGAATTTTTTAAAGACGATATATATATATATTTATATTTATTACTAGACTTATCCAGTGATTGTAGCCAACAAAATTTTTATCGTGCGTCTATTCCAAACAAAGAGCGGGACGGGAGAGTAAACAACGCAAAAATCCTTGCCTGTAAAATAGTGTATAATATCTTCGTTGAGTACAAACAATGCATAAAGTGTTTGACAGTAAATTGTAAAATTTAGTAATTTGAACCTATGCCTCACTGTATATGAGTTTTAATTGTTATTATTGTTATTCCAGAGCGTACTTAAAATGTTCGAAACAAAAAACGAGCTAATTTCTAATCCGAGAGCTGTGCTGTATTACATAACGTTTAACTGTTGGCGCGCTGATAATTGAGAAAATAGATGTATTTCTGTACATACACAATACATTCATTACATCCTTTTGCATTATTAACCAATTTCTCGTACTATAAACGTATTATATAACAAGGTGCGCGTACACATTTGCAATTGTGCAGATAATAAACATTGAATATTATACTAGTGCCAAACGTAAATTGGGACTTGTTATGTCAAGCCTAACATATGATCTTATAGTTTTAATGCAAAATACTTTAGACAGCATAACTATAACTTGCTGACAGTCAAACGCCGCAAGACAAGTAATGATAATTTGCTAGTAACGCATCAGAAATGCAACATTTTGAAAAAATTGGTTTATACTGTTTAGTTGTGTCAAAAGTAATGTCAGTAACTTGTAATTACCAGCCTTGTTTGTATGTCACTACAGTATATGGAAGATAAACCGATGAGGTGCTTTATTTAGTCGAGAACGCGAATATGCAATTATGAATAGAACATGTCGTTTAATTTGGAAAGTACAATATAAATATTTATTCGTTAAATAATGTATTGATGATAAGTACCCGTTTTGATAAGTAAAAGTTTTAGAGCGCGACTATCGCAAAATAAACGAAAAGTTTCCGAATAAAACAAGTTATAGACTAAAATATTTCCAGAGCTTAAAAGATTATTTGTACAAGAACCCATTTAAAATTTTATTTTAAATAATTAATCAATATAGTATATTGACTGGTATTTGTCGATAAAGTTGATATGTAATTATATTGTTAATTAACGATGCGATGACTAATGAGTTTTAACAAAAACAATAGTCAAAAATACAGTTTCGCTAATCCATATTTACTTGAATCATCAATGTGTGCGCAATAAATGTTTATCTATATAGTATTTTTAAAACAATATGTCTTAACCGTCCAGTGTATCTCGCATTATTGTCGTGACGCTTAAACACTTTATCAATTTTTTCTCTCATGCTCAATGCACACGTATCATTTGGTTCAATTTCCAATAACTTGTTGAAATCGGTCAACGCTTTCTCATATTCTTTGAGATCAAAATAGACATTACCCCGTAATCTCAATGCATGTGCGTTGCTCGGCGTTATCGCTAACGACCTATTGAGATCGACTAACGAATTATCATATTGTTTCAAATCGAGATAGACGTTTCCCCTCACGGTCAATGCATCGACATAATCAGGATCAATCTCCAAGCATTTATTTAAATCGATTAATGCATCATCATATCGTTTGAGCATGCGATATGTCTTGCCCCTGTTCTTTAACGGAGCTTTATAATTCGGGCTAATCCCCAATGCCCTGTTGAGATCACTTAATGAATCGTCGTACTGCGCAAGATTACAATAAACGTGCCCTCGTACGTTCAATGCATATGTATTATGCGGCGCACTTTCCAATGCTTTGCTGGTATCGCATAACGCACGATCATACTGTTTGAGGTCATTGTAGATATCTCCTCTTATAGATAGCGCAAGCGTGTAATTTCGCTTGATTTCCAATGCTCTGTTAACATCTTTCAATGCATCATCATATCGTTCGAGGAAAGCATGAGCGAGAGACCTCTGACACAACGCCCATGCATTATTAGGCTCAATTTTCAATGATTTGTTAAGATCAATCAGCGAATCGTCATATTGTCTCATACTTTTATAAATACTTCCCCGTACTCTCAACGCCCACGCATCATTTGGCTCAATGTCCAATGATTTAGTAAGATCGTTCAGTGAATTCTCGTGTCGTCCTAGATCATTGTAGACAAATCCTCGTTCTCTCAACGTCCATGCATTGTTTTGTTCAATCTCCAACGATTTGTTAAGATCGTTCAATGCATTATAGTATTGTCCTAGATATCGATAAACAGCTCCCCTTCTACTCAGCGCCCACGCATCATTTGGCTCGATGTCCAACGACTCGTTAAGCTCGGTCAGCGAACTGCTGTATTGTCCTACCTCAAAATAGACGGCTCCGAGTCTGCTCAACGACCATGCATTGTTTGGCTCGATATGTAACGCATTGTTAAGATCATTCAATGAATTGACATATTGCCCTAGCTCAAGATAGACAGCTCCCCGTTCTCTCAATGTCCACGCATCAGTTGATTCGATATTCAACGATTCGCCAAAATCGTTCAGCGAGTTGTCGTATTGTCCTAGATCAAAATAGACAGCTCCCCGTTCTCTCAACGCCCATGCATCATTTGGCTCGATGTCCAACGATTTGTTGAGATCGTTCAGCGAATTGTCGTATTGTCCTAGACATCTATGGACGGCTCCCCTTCTGCTCAGCACCCATGGATTGTTTGGTTCAATGTCCAACGATCTGTCAAGGTCATTCAGTGAATTGTCGGATTGTCCTAGATTAAGATAGACCGCACCCCTTCTACTCAAAACCCACGCATCATCTGGCTCAATCTCCAACGATTTGTCAAGATCTTTCAGTGCATTATTGTATTGTTTCAGATCGAGATAAACGGTCCCTCTTCTACTCAATGCCCATGCATTATCCGGTTCAATTTCCAACGATTTGTTAAAATTATCTAGCGCGTTGTTGTATCGTTTTAGACATCGATAAACTTCTCCCCGATATCGTAATGTCCATGCATCACCTGGTCTACTCATCAACGATTGGTTAAAATCCATCAGTGACTTGACATAGTTTTCTAGATTTAGATAGACTGATCCCCTTCTGCTC